AATAATATAGTCTTGTCATCTCTAGTTTTGTAGAACTTTTCATGTACTCCCTCCGTTCCACAAAACTCTTCCTCTTTCGTTTTTTTTTATTTTCACAAAACACTTCCACTTTCTATTAAAAAACCACTTTTACCCCTACTTTTTCATACCCTACCTATCACATCATACTTTTTCACTAATAACCAAACTATCACATCTTACTTTTTCCCATCACATCAGTGGCAAATTTGGAAAGTCAACCAAAATTACACTTTTCTTATTTTTCTCCAAAGTCAAAACCGGAAGGGTTTTGCGGAACGGAGGGAGTAGTTTATTACTATATAAATTTTATTTTAAAATTTTACTCCTATAATCAATTAAATTGAATTGAAAATAAAGTCGGTCAAGCCTCGTAACGCGTAATGGGAAGATCATACATGGACGGAGGGAGTACTAAAATATAATAACCTCTTTCATGTAGTACTATATATTTTTATTTTTCAATGAAGTACGATTGGTCAATGCTCACTGTTCAACAATTAGACATTGTTTAAACTAAATGTCCACCATCATTGGACATTGTTCCCGCCACTAGACATTATTCAAATACTATTTAAGAAATAAAAAAGTTTAAATATTACATTAGAAAATGATATATGTTTTAGTACTATTTAGTACAAATTTCTCTTTTCTCAATAGGCCACATACTAACAAAGATAAAGTTAGGTTGAGTCTTATATTTTGGTCAAATTACCGTTGAAAAATTTGCTCTATATAGGACTAAAAGATACTACCTCCGTCCTGGTGTTTTTGTCTAGTTTGACTTTTTCGAGTCAAACAGAACGAACTTTGGACATCAATTAAATAAAAATGGTAATAAATTTTAGTATAAAAAATATTTCAATAGATTTATCTTGTTTAGAATTATTAAATATTTAAATTATTGTATCAATATGCAACATAAATTAAGGGTAATTGATGATTAAAATTCACCTAATTTAAATCGAAAAAGTCAAATTGGACCAATACACTGGGATGGAGGGAATAATAAGTTTCCCCGAATAGGACCAAGTATATTTTATTCCCTTTATGTCACATAATTTCATATGATTTGTCATATATGTCTTCATTAGCAACAAGTATTGGATTATGACTGTTTATAGGAATGGATCTACGAATATGGTCATTAGCAACAAGTGTTAGATAATGGCTGATTATTTCAATGACTATTCAAATCGTTTTTAATAATGTCTTATTTCACTTGAATTGTATAATTGGTCATTTTTTGAAAGGTACGACATTTTAGAATTTTCCATTGTCAAATGTTAGTGTTAGCCCATGTATTTGTACATAGATACAACAACAACCCCGTTAAATCCCACTAGGGTCTGGGGAGGGTGTGTGTACGCAGACCATCACCCTATCGTGAAAGGATACAAGTGTTACCACCCTGTTTCCCAAAAAACATATCTCCCATCATGTTTTTTTGTCGAGGATCAATTTTTTTACTTCTCACTTCTCCCAGACGATCCATCATCTAGTCACTCAAGAGTAGTTGTTAACATCTTCCCTAATAGTCTAGGTTCACTGGATCAGGTAACGCCCCTCAGAGTGTTATTCCTTCTGCCACTATCCCACAGACGGTCGATGCTAACGCCCACCCACCCCTCGACGTTCGACTATCACAGACCACATCCTCTGACACGCTACAGGCGGTCGAGCACATCAACCATCCACCCAGCTACATTCAATCGTTCACTACCCACTCCTCTGAACACCTGCACGGGGTTGACCCTATGAACCATTTACATGGTCATGGTTAACCGCTTCCTTCTCGGTCCCCTGAACCTCCCTGGGTAGTCCACCCACTCCTACGATCATCCTCCTCTAACTAATACTCACCCAATGAAAGTTGAGCCAAGTTTGGTATTTTCAAACTCAAAGCCTACATTGCTCCCACTCTTGACTTTACATCCCCACCACTGAACCAACCACATATCACCAAGCCTCTAGTAATTATTTCTGGTTCCAGGCTATGGATGACGAGTTTTGCACTTATGAATGAGTAGCGTACTTTGGATTTGGTTCCTCCTCCCAAGGACCGACATCCAATTGGTTGTAAGTGGGTGTATAGCATAAAGTGGAATCCTGATGGATCAATTTGTTGGTATAAGGTTCGTCTATTGGCCAAAGGGTACCATATAGAATATGGAATTGACTATTAGGAAACGTTCATCCCCGTTGTCAAGCAACAGACTATTCATTTGGTTCTCTCTCTTGCACTTCATCATGACTGGCCTCCACACCAGTTAGACGTGAGCAATGCATTTCTTCATGGTCCCCTGGATGAAGATATTTACATGGATCAGCCACCGGATTATGTAAATCCCAAATGCTCACGCTTTGTGTGCAAGTTGCGCAAATCCCTCTATGCTCTTAAACAGGCTCCTCGTTCTTGGTACACCTATTTTGCTACTGTTTTGTAGGGACTTGGCTTTCGCTGTTTTCGCCATGATACCAGTCTGTTCACTCTTCACAATTCTCGTGGGACTGTGATTGTTTTGATGTACGTTGATGGCATCATCATTACGAGGAGTTCTCCTTCTCTTATCTCTACGAGTTACACAAGCTATGCATCGTGATTTTTGACTGAAGAACTTGGGTCCCCTGGGTTTTTTACTTGGCATTGAGGTACGGAGCACAAAGGACACTATTTTACTTTATCCGACAAAGTAAACTCTTGAGCTTCTTAACAGACTGGTATGTCTGATTGCAAGCCTGCCATCACGCTCATGGCTGAACGATGCTCTCTAGATCTGTCCCCCCTCTTCTCAGATCCTAAAACTTTTCATAGCATCGGTTGTGGACTACACTATCTGACTGTCATTCGTACAGATATTTAGTACGTTATGAATCAGGTGTCTCAACAATGCATTCTCCAACTAATAAGGAATACTTTGCCTTGAAACACATTCTCCGTTACCTGAAAGGTACCTTGCCACAAATAGGCCCCATAGATGTTTCCGTTTACTCTAATTCGAACAGGGCTAAAGATAAAGATGATCGTCGCACTACAAAAAAATTTGCTTTTTGTGGCATTAAATTTTGCCACAAATACATTTATTACGTCAAAATTTGCCACAAATACTTTTTATTTGTAACGGGGTATTTGTGGCAAATTCTAGAATCTGCCACAATTACCTTATTACAAAAAGTCAATTTTTGGTAGTGTCGTTCTACTACCGGTTACCTTATTATGCTTGGGCTGAATCTTATCTCTTTGTACACGAAGAAACAAACTCGTGTCTCACGTTCCTCCATAGAAGCCGAATATCGCGCCATGGCCGCGAGGGTAGCAGAAGCCATGTGGCTTTGCCACATTACAGATGCACTTGGCATTCCTCTTTAAAAACAATAATTTACTCTGACAATGATTTTATCATCCGTGTCACAAAAAATCATGTTTTGCATGATCGCATGTTGGTTTGACTGTGACTTTGTGCACGATGAAGTTATAACTGGCACGATGTCCACTCATTATGTTCCATATTTTGAGCAACTCGCAGATCTCTTGACGAAACCGCTTCTGCCCACTTCGTTTTGAATATATGTGTTCCAAGTTGCCTCTCGTCTCTGTTGATCAGCTTACGGGGGGATAGTAAGAAATAGATGTTATAATTAGTTATCTTCCATATTTGTTGTTTCCTTATTATATTTAGTTCTTTTCTATTATGATTAGAACTCTCTTTTGTAATCACTATATATAAGAAGGTATTCTTCAATATTCAATAAGATTAATTATTCTCAAATTGTATCATGGACAATATTTTTGCACAAGACTAAATTTTTTCCGATCCGAGTAGGATGAAGTGGGAACTCCCTATAGCGTAATGCTGCAGGGTTTTGGAAGGAGTTATGATCCGTAATGGCTGGGTTCACTGCCATGTCGAATCGTGATAGGGAGGGAACATTGCATATATGATCTACTCCTCCGTGACCGTGAGTCAAATCGTGGTAATACTACTCCCTAGATTTTTTTGTTGTTTTTTATTTTTCATTTTTCTTCTTCTTTTTTGCTTGGTAGTTTTTTCTTTATTATTTAAGTTTACTTTTTATTTTATTTTTACTTTACTTTTTTTATAATCTAGTTTTAAAAATAATCACGAATAATTTTTTAAAATGTAAATATGAATTTAATACTAGAAAAATATTTATTTTATGTTTTTTAGGTAATTTTATTAAATTTATTTTATTTTTTATTTTCTCAAGTTGTTGTACTTTTTTATTTGTACGCATTTTTTTGCTTTCTATCACTCTTTTTTATCCTCCTTTTTTTGCATTTTTGTCATTGTAATTTAAAACTTAATATTAATGAAAGTTTTATTTTAAATTTTAAGTTTAAAAAGTTTAAAGTAAAATAATTTTAAAAAAGAAAAAAAGAGATGGGTGTGATGGGTGTGATCCCTTGACGGAGATGAGATTTGATAGAAAAGAAAAAAACTAACGTGATGCTGAACGACATGAAAAGATGGCGTGATGAGTGTGATCCACAACACATGGTATAATGTAAGGGAGAAAAACCAAAGTAGGACTAAAACATTGAATATATACCAAAATAGAACTTCCATGTTTTTATTCCCGAAATAGGACTTACATTACCAAACATGGTCGTGTACATTACCAAAAAAGTATACTAATGTACGCATGTACAGTGCCACAATACCACAGTGCAAAGTCCTATTTTGAGAAAAAAATATGAAAATCTTATTTTAATACTTTTATCTATGTTTTAGTCCAATTTATGGGTGATTTCTAGTAATGTAACTAATGTACAAAGGTAGAATTATGGATGGGAGACGTACAAACTAGTGAAGTATTAGCATTGCATGTAGGTCTGAATCATGATTTGATCTCAATGCTACAATTAGGATTTATCATCATCATCATCATCATCATCAAGTTCACTACAAAGTAATTAATTAATTAAAGATACAATGTGATGCAGTTTATTAACTTGGGCGAGTCCAAATTAATTGTACGTACGTAACTTACAATAACAATGGAGATGATCAGATAACGACGTCCTTCCTTAACTATGTACGTACTCCATCAATGCATGCTCAGGGCCCTCCCGTTGCTTATACCCCAACACCCCGCCGGCGAAACCTCGCCGGAAATCGCTTCTTCAATGATAATCCCGTTTTCAATTGAACAGCCGGAGCCGGAAGACGATACCTGCCTCCTCCTCCGGCCCCTGGAGCTCGAAGGCGGTGTAGAAATCGTCGCCGCCGCTGCTGAGAACCAAGAGCGCGTGGAAGATGAAGAAGAAGAAGAATAAGACGGTGATGCGGCGGCAGCGGCCGGTGGTGATGATTGGCGTCCTCGTCCGCCTCCCTTCTTGAGACCCTTGAGCTTCACGAGCAAAGCTCGAAGCAAACTACTCCTCTTCTTCACCTGCAGATGCCTGCCGGTGAAGAAAGATGGCGGCGGCGTGAGAGAAGGTCGTAGGACATTTTCGCCCCCGCCACTGGCGAATCTATGTTTGGGAGTCCCGGGCTGAGACTCCCAGACAAAGGGAACAGAAACGTCGTCGTCGGCGTAGTAAACTCTGAAAGAGTGGGTGTTAGCCGCCGCCGCCGGCGTCGTCGCCTGTTGTCGGGAAAGGAGGCGGGAGAAGAAGCTGACGTCGTCGTGCTTGATTCTGAATGATTTGTTGTCGTCGTTGTCACCATATATATTGTCAAGAACATCATCATCATTATTATTATTATTATTATTATTATTATTATTATTATTATTATTCTGATGATGAGAGTCGTCTGCTACGCTTCTACTGCGGCTCAACATCATCAGATCATCATCATCACCATCCTTAATTATCATACATGCATTAGTAGTATTTAGTACGACGAACGAGTAATGCAACCTAACTAGCTAGCTTGGGTTGAGAATAAATGGAGATGAAATATTATAAGTATATATCTATAGCTAGGTAGCATAGAAATGAAGGAATAATAATGATAGAGTATTATAATTGTGGTGAGAGATGGAATATAGCTAAGCTTGTTTGGTGTTTGAAGCTGCCAGCTACCGACCTTGATGTCATTATTATATGAACACTAAATAGCACTAAATTTTAAGTCATTCTCTTAAATAGCATTTAAATTGTTTTATTCTCTAAATAGTACTCCCTCCGTTCTCAAAAACACTTCCTCTTTCATTTTTCCACTTCCAACAAAACACTTCCCTTTTCTATTAAAAAACCACTTTTACCCTTATTTTTTCATACCCTACCTATCACATCATAATTTTTCTCTAATAATCTATCCATCACATCTTACTTTTACCCATCACATCAGGGGCAAAATTGGAAATCAACTATAATTTAACACTTCCTTAATTTTGCCCCAAATCCAAATGGGAAGTGTTTTTCCAAACGGAGGGAGTACTTAATAGTATCCATAATATACAGTGATAGCTAACGTTTACTTGAATAATGACTAATGACTAAAAGTGCTACATTGAGAAAAAAACACATATAATGTTACTTAGGGAAAGTCATTATGTTTTAATGTTATTTACGTAAATTCTCCTTATTATATACGGAGTATATACTCGCGTCTCATGCCAAAAGGCGCAAACACACACATAAGGAAGTAAGCCTTTCTTTGGAAGAGGAGAAAAAATGAGAGGAATGAAAATAGAAGAAAATGATAGTGAAAAAATTAAGGTTTAGATTGGTAGAAAATAATAAGAAAATAGTGAGAATAGGGAAAAAAGTGGAAGAAAAGTAAATCAAGAGCACGGGAAACACTCGTGAAGCCCCGAGACTTCAATCTGGGCTTCAAATTAAAATTTCTCTCTTTGTCACGTCAGCTTTAACTTATTTCACATATTCAATGGAAATGGATATAAAGCCCCGAGACTTCAAACTGGAACTTCAAACCTTTATTTTTTACATTTTGAATATACATTTTGCAAAATTAAATTAATAAAATTTCATTATTTAATTAAATTTAAATGACAATAATTCATTAAATTAATAACAACATAAATTAAAAACTAAAAATTACATTACATTACAAAGGAATTAGTGTTATTTGAGCGACTTAAATATCCTCAATCAAATCCGCCGTTAATGTCACGTACCAAAACATACCCTAAAATTATTCTTGAATTATTAATCAATTAAACAAATTTGTTTTAATTAAAATAAATTATTTTTAGGCTTTGGCCCGAAATGAAATGTGTTTTGATATCAAATATCACAAACTGGACAAATTTTGTGGATATAAATCCAAACTACAACTCTATGTGTGATATTAATTGGGAATTAGAGTACAGACCCAGATCAAGAATAAATAAAAAAACTAATTTATGATGTGAACTAATTATTAAAATAAATCAAGAGAATAAATAATATGAATAGAATATGAGAATCTTTTGAATAAAAGATTAATCAAATCAATTTTGACTCTGTCAAATTCAAACACTCAAAAAATATGATCCGAGAAAAGTATTCCAAATAAATATAAAAATTATATTGTTAGATAGAGTTTGATTGTCTGATCGCAATGATGAAAATAGAATTTAATTTGGAAAAAGTTGGACCTAGAAATGTACCCCGATTGGGAGCAAAATTAGTCCCTATCAGGGATGGAGATGTGTAAAAGACGCCTCCTCCAATTAGAAGGAATGGTGAAGATTAGGAGTAGCAAGGATTGCCTTATATAGAGGAAGGAGGAGGAAGAAGACATTGTTTAAATAATAGCGTATGAGCTGATTCACGATCGATAGTGGAGGATATTATTTATGATAAATAATAGTGTATGAAATGTTTTAAAGTTTATGATTACCAAGTTTATACTTTAGTCCGAAAGAGGCTGCAGACCTGGACGGATTAGTGTGTTACAATTAGTGCATTGTGAATGACTCAGATTTGAATTTCTTGGAAATTTCTTTGTTTTTTTCATCGATTTCTTCATACCTAAGCACCTCTTCGTCTAGGTTGTAATGACAAAATGCAAACTCATTGTCCTTTATGATCATATTATGAAGAATAATACATGCATACATGATGTTTCTCATTTTTGTTGGATAATAACACTTGGACGGATAATCTAGAATGTGCCACTTACCCTTCAACACCCCGAAGGCTCGTTCGATATCTTTTCTCGTTGTCTCATGAGCTTTTTTTGTAAGTCTAGCATTTAAGACCCATTGGTTTAGAAAGGGACTTGACGATTGTATAATAATCTGGATATATTTCATTGGCAAGATAATATCCATACTTGTTGAGCGTCCCTCAAACCTAAAAAGACGTGTCAGGTGTAGTCTGATTAACTTAATCGTCAAAAATGGGTGATTGGTCAAGAACATTGATGACGTTGTTCGAGCTCGCAACACCCAAAAAAGCATGTCACAACCACAAGTCATTTCAAGCCACATCTTCAAGCATGATTGTATGCTTGGGATGATCACCTCGGGAGAATTGACCGTGCCACACAGTGGGATAATTTTTCCAATTCCAATGCGTGTAATCAATACTGCTAAGCATGCCGACAAAGCCATGTTTAGCGGCATACCTCGCCAGTAACTGCTCAATACCGCTCGTTGTCGGCTTACATAAATAATAATACTCCCTCCGTTTCTTAAAACCCTTCATCTTTCATTTTTTTGTTTTTCTTAAAACACTTTCTTTTTCTATTAAAAATTCACTTTTACCCCTACCTTTTCATACCCTACCTATCACATCATACTTTTTCACTAATAACTAAACTATTACATCTTACTTTTACATATCACATCAGAGGCAAAATTGGAAAGTCAACTAAAATTACACTTTCCTTATTTTTCCCCAAAGTCAAAACAGGAACCGTTTTGAGAAACGGAGGGAGTAATAAATAACTACTAATTAATAATAATTAATTAACTAATATAATTGATCTATTATCCTATCACGAGCGTTGGGACAATTCTGCTTTTTCTCTTTCGCTTGGTTGCCACCATTGATAACAGTTTGTCGCGAAACAATGAAAAATGAGAGCTCTTCTTTCATCGTCAGATTTGATTTCATTTTTTGAATATTTTGTAGAGAGAATTAAAGGAAATAGAATATATTTTGTAGGAATTACAAAGAAAATGAGAATATGTTGTGTGTGTGTGTGTTTGTTGTATTAAAAATAAGGGGTATTAATAATATTAAAAATAAAAATAAATTCTTTTTAAATATTGCCCAACGGCCATAATTTGGACCGTTAAGGGGAGAGCCATTGCCTTCCATCTTTCGCTGATGCGTCAAACGTTCAATGCAACCGGTATGACGCTGAAGGGGTTGGTGTTTGACGCCCTGTTGCGTTAAACGTCCAATAACAGAGGGGGCGTCACGAGTATTAGCAATGCCTTAATGGGAGAATAAATCTTTGTACGGGTTTACTCACCAAAGTGGGTGAGAAAACTTCTTATTTGGGACCCACAATTTTTTTTTCTCCTCTTGCTCATTTTCTCATCCAATCAAACAAGTGAAATTGATTTTTTTTCTCACCATCAATTTTCTTTCCTACCCTTTTTTGATCATCCAAACGGTGTGTAAAAGTGTAAAAGCTCTAGTATCGAAATAAAAAAAATTATTCAAAATAATTTCAACTTTATTCGATCTTTCAATAATAATCAAACTTTTCACTGTGATACATAAATACATAATGATCACAACATTACTGAAACTTGCGAGCTTTGGGTCGCTGTTAAATTGCTAACGGTGGATTAACAGAAATACCTACATTCGGCTATAAAATGAAAGTTGAGATTATTTTTTATGATTTTTTGTTTTAAATTTTTTTGACATTTTCATTTAAATTTTTAAAATGACTTTTAACTCCATTTCTTTGTCTTTTTTTAAAGAGTAATCTTACCTTCGAAAAAAAGAAAAATAGATATAAAAAATAATGAAAATGAGAAAAATAACTAAATCAAACAAAATTAATGAAATAAATAAAGTAATCAATAGAAATTTAACACGAATTGGTAAGAAACATAATAAATATATAGAGAGTGAAGTAACATTTTACGCACTATACAGAGTATTAATGTACTACTTATTTTTGAAAGAATAAGTTAGTAAAGTTAGAATTATTCTAGATAATGTTTTCTACAAAATAAGAAGTGGTATATTAATACTTTGTATAGTGCCGTAAAAGGTTAAAACTCATCATCCGTATATTTTTATATTATTTCTTATCAGTTTCAAGTTAGTTTCTATTCATTATTTTATTTATTTCATTAATTTTGTCTCATTTTAGCTATTTTTCTCATTTTCATTATTTTTCATATCTACTATATTTATTTTTTTATAAATTAAGGCTAATCTTTAAAAAAATAAAAAGAAATGGAGGTGGAAAGTCATTTTAAAAATTTAAATGAAAATTATAAAAAAAATCATAAAAAAATCTCAACTTTCATTTTGTTAGACAAAACAGTCATTTCTGTCAACCCACCGTTAGCAACTTAATGTTGTGATCATTGTTAAATTATATTTATAGCTCTCAAATTAACATCAACGGATCAAAAAAATTATTTGTGGCAAAATATCTATAAAAAAAAAGTAATAGAATAACTCTTAATAATAGACGACAGGGAAAATTCTGTTTTATAATGGAGTAATTATAAAATTTTTGCTCCAAAACATTAAAATAATGTCTGAAACTAAATCGTACACCGTGTTTCAAAAAAAAAAAAATCGTACACCGTCGTAATAGATGAAGTATTTTGAGTGTGGGGTCTTCACAAGAAATCTCCAACGGTACGCTGCCCCAATATCATCATCACACAACGGTCAAAACTACACCACGCTTCTTCATCACTCTCTACTTCACTGCCCTCTGCTCCTCTTCCATTTCTTGCTTTTTCCTCTCCTCTGATCCCCTCTTTCTGAACTCCTAAGGTTGTCCCTCCTCCAACCAACGATGGGTGTTTCTGATCCCACCTTAGCTCAGCAAGAAAACGAGTCTGTGCCGCCCAATTCCGACCCGGTTTCACAGGCGGCGAGTCCAAGGGCGGAGATCGACACCTCCGCCCCATTTGAGTCCGTGAAGGAGGCCGCCACCCGATTCGGCGGCTTCGGCTTCTGGAGACCCGCCTCCCTCAAACCCTCTTCCTCCCCCTCATTCCAGGTCCCTCTTCTTCGCGTTTTCACTCTAATGAATTTAGAAATATTTGCAGTAAATAACATTAAAACTTAATTCATTTCTCTAAATAGCACTTAGATTGTTTTTTTCCCTAAATAGCACTTAATAATGTCCATAATGACCAGTGATGACAAACATTTACTTGAATAATGACTATTGAATTAATGACTAAAAGTGCTACATTGGAAAAAGAACATATGTAGTGCTATTTAGGGAAAGTTATTATGTTTTAGTGCTATTTACGTAAATTACTCATGAATTTATCCTGTTTCTGATGAATAATAGTCGTATGAAATTTTCTCTTCCGTAAATGTTTGACGTTTAATTCCATCTGCCCAGGAGTTTGACGCGGCTAAAATGGAGGAAGAAGCCGCCCAATTGGAAATGGATCTCGCTGCAAAAGAAACAGAGACACTCAATGTCCTAAGGGAATTAGAAACCACCAAAGTCATTTTGGAAGAACTCGAGCAGAAGTTGCAGGAAGGCGGAAACAGTGGCGGCGAATCTCCGGGCTCATCGGAGTCCAAACGCAGCCTGGGAAACGAACTAGCGGGCGTCCGGGCGGCCATTGAATCTTGCAAGGAGAAAGTAGAGGAAGAGAGGTTCCGGCTGGAAGAGACCGGGCAGAGGCTGTTTTCGAAATCCTCTAAAGCTTCTTCTCTGGAGGAAGAGCTGAAGGAGACGAAGACGAAACAGGCGGCGGCGAGGAGGGTGAAGAGGGCGGAGGAGGAGCTGAGGGAGAGCAAGAAGGCGCTGGAAGAGGCGGCGAGCAGAGTGGAGGTAGCCGAAGAGGTGCTGCTGCGAAGAAGAAGAAGAAGAAGAAGAAACAGACATTATTATGGTTATCATCATTCCTCCTCTCCGGCGACGGCGACATTGTCGATAGGGCAGATACTGAGAAGGAAGCTGCAAGAAGCGGAGGAGACTGAGAGGAGGAGGAAGAAGAGGAAAGTGTCACTTGGACAATTGTTGAGTAGCACCCGTTTGAAACAATCCCCTGCAAAGAAGAAGAAGAAGAAGAGGCAAATCTCGGCTGCTGCTGGTTTCAGGTGTCGCGATGTGTAGAACACGACCTGCATGCTGCTTAAACCAATTCTAATTATTCGTTTCATTATTTATTTATTTATTGGGTGTTTTTTTTTTGAAGGGATGGTTCCGATGATATATATTGATTATCAATGTCCCCAATGTATGTCTCTCTTTGTAAAATGAATTCTAAGTTTGTATAATGGAGAATGGATAAAAAAAATGTATGGTGGGGAGAGAGTTTTGTGTGCAAAATGGTTAATGAATCTATAAAGTTATGTTATCTTGTGTTATGCCTTGAGCTGATTTCGTGGGTGTAAGACGGAACGTAATGGGTGTTATAGCCATACTTAAACCCACTTTGGTGCCCCCCAACAACCCCTTGGCGGTGTTATAACAACAACAACAACAACAAACTCTTAAACCAGCCAAGGTCGGCTATATGGACCAGTGGTATTATAACAAAATTAAATTTTAAAAAATGAGCGCTATGTGTATAGCTAGCGTTGCTTTACATTTCATCTTTCAAGTTTGATTTAATTAGATTCATACCCGTTGAAAATATTATAAAAATTTAAAATGTTTAAATATTTAAATTTGACTTATGGTTATTTTATCTTACTTGGAGGGTCACCCGTCTCTTGGAGAAGTAAGAAGCAGAATACAGTATCTCGCTCCTCCGCCGAAGCCGAGTACAAGGCTATGGCCAACGCCTGTAACGAGATTCGTTGGTTACGGGGTCTGCTCGCCGCCCTATTTGTCCCGTGTGTTGTCACTCCTAAATTATACTGCGACAACAAATCTGCTTTGTTTATTGCTGCTAATCCTGTATTTCATGAGCGTTCAAAGCATATTGATATTGATTGTCATATTGTCAAGGAATGTATTCAGCGCAATCACATCGTCACAGCTTATGTTCCAACACGATTTCAAACAGCAGATATTTTCACTAAAGCTCTTCCTGGACCATTATTTCATTCTTTGTTATCCAAGTTGAGCATTTTTGATATTCATGCTCCAACTTGAGGGGTAGTATTAGTGTATATAGTGTATTCTTTGTATTTTTGTATTTGGGGACTCCTCGTTTGTTTCACCGGGGTTCCTCGTTTATATCACCCATGTACATTTATATTGGCTTTGACTTGAATGAATCCACCAAGCATTTCAGTTCTAAGTTTCTTCAATTATCTTTAGTAGGAAGTAAAAAGTTAAGAAGGGAACAATAAGACACACACATTGCATATAGATTATCAGAAAGAGGAATTTACTTAAATAACACTAAAATATAATGATTTTCTCTAAATAGCACCACATGTGTTTTTCTTCACAATATAGCACTTTTAGTCATTATACATTAGTCATTATTCAAGTAAATGTTTGTCATCAAAAGTCATTATGGACATTATTAAGTGCTATTTAGGGAATAAAACAATTTAAGTGCTATTTAGAGAAATGACTTAAGTTTTAGTGCTATTTTATGCAAATATTTCTTATCAAAAAATTTACTAAATTTTGGTTTATTAATATTAGAAAAATAAGTAAGTAGAAATGTAATTAATTCATAATTATTTTCTCAATTAAAGGGAAATGATGCATTATTGTAGTTTAAAAATACAAATTAGTAGACTTAATTAATTTAGTCTTGTCTCTAGCAATATTAGTTTTGTTTTCTTTCCAATTGATTTTCTCAAAAATAAATGCTTATACATATTAAGATTATAACTCTAACATCCAAGAATCTAAGACTCCATTAATCTAGACCATCCAACTTGATCTATTTAGGTTACCGCCATATTTCGCTTGTAACAAAAGATGAAAGTTTGCTCTTTTGTATAAGATCATCCAACCGGTCATCATATACTAAATTATCATATAAATACATAAGCATATGACTCTATATAATTTAGGAGCATATTAACTTAACTAATACTAACTAAAAACATAACTAAAAAAAGAAGGTGTATCACTTTTCTAAAACCATCTTCTCTGTGTTGTGCCGCCGTCTACCATGAGCAAGGTTGGGCTCGGACCCTATTAAAAAAAGACTATTAAACACACAACAAAGTCAACAATATCAAAAAAATTTATTATAATTTGAATAAGATCGATTAGCTACTTCACAAGTTGTTTAAATACCACAACATTAATGAACTACTGCCCATCATATGCCAACCACATTTCATGTTTAGAAATCAATACTTGAGCAAAACCAAAAAATAGATTCAGCAGGTAATAAAAAGAACAGTAATTCATTTCTATTTTAAATAGAGAAATTCAAACCATGCAAATTATGTCTAGATAAATTCAAACCATGAAAATTATGCATCTGTTTTGGCCAAAACCTCTCACGAAAACACTACAGAATTCATCCTACACACATGGAGAAAAGAGGGCCCTCTTACCTCATGTTCTACATGGCAAAATATGCATCTACACCCATTAAAAGTATGGTTGGAATTACTTACTTTTAATGATTCAGGGATTTTTAGCAGGAAAAAATATGGTGCAATTGTATTTGAAAAAAAGGTGTTCAACATAAAATTTAAGAATAGGTATACCTACTTCATGAACACTTCTAAGGGTGGTATGCACTTATTTAAGAAAGCACCACAATGGTGCTTTTGAATAATAAAACTTTGGGTTAATTAAATTAGAAGAAAATAAAAGAAAGAGAAAGTTACATCAAAAGGATGAAACAATAATGTTATTGATATTGCTCGTAAGGTACCATCTTCATTCATTCATAATAAGAATTCGAGCTTTAAGGCGATCTTTGCATCACTATCCATAAAATGAAAGTTAAAAAAACTTCATTAGAATAGTGAAAGAAAACAATGCATTCGAACACATCCAAAAAAATTCAAAATTTTCATATCTTCCACTAAAACTACCCTGCATTGGCGGTCCGTCTAGCTTCTCTTAACGTAGATACTCCCTCCGTCCTGTAATGATCTTCCCAGAGCACTATTCCAACTTCACGGGAATTTATATTTATTTGTGTTTTTTCATGGCCTATATGATAAAATAAAATATTCTTGTCACCACTTGTTTTGTTGAACTTTTGATGTAGTTTTTAAATATGTATGTTTTATTTTTTTATTTCTATACCAATATTTAAATAAAATAGATTGAAAAAACTTGAGATTTTTTTTCGTTTTGCGAACCGGGAAGATCTTTTAACAAAGTAAATCGACCACCCCTTGATAACCTTCTTATGCCACACAACCCAATACATATAGAAGTAAATTCTTGACACACTAAAGTAATGTGCTACATTTTCCGAAGTAACACCCATACTTAGAATAGTTTTTAGCTTATGAAATTAAATGTCCTAACTTGGTCCAAAATGTACAAAGGTCAGATTATGAATGACATAAAATGCAACACTCTAATCCGTCTAGGTCTGTAGTCTCTTTTGGACAAAGTATTCACTTGGTAATCGTAAAATTTTAAAACTTTTCAAATAGTTTTATTTATCACAATAATATTTTAAATAATTTATACAGTACGGAGTATTCAACAACATTGCGGAAGCGAATTTAAATATTGTCATATCATAATAAATCATTTCAAGACTTGTCACATCTATCCCAAAAATCTCACTCCATCTACCACCGGGATCACATCGTTTCTTCTGTTTACCTACGTCTATCAAATAAAACATACTACACGCTCTGTGTTGAAGTTGAGTAAACATATCTAATCTGTCGAACACCCATGTAGACTGAGTCTAAATTAATAATCAAATCATTTGATATCATTCACACAATGTTCAATTCAAACATTCACAATTTTGATATTATTCAATTCATATCAATACTTTTTATTCAATTCAGAGGTGCACTTAATCTAAAGCCAAATAATAACAAAACTCTTAGCTAATCTTAATTTAAGGCCAAATCCACATTTTCATAATTAGACTCTTAATGAGTAATCAATAACCAGACGCTTAAACTATCATTAGTTTAAGATAATTGACAACAAGACGCTTAAACTATGATTAGTTTAAGGCAACATATTTCCAGACATTTAACTGTAATGGACATTAATGACCAATTTTTAACAAAAGATCACGAGAATATCCCAACATCCTCAGCTGGGCACTACGCACCAAAAGAGGTATCATCCACATAAGATAACAAGGGAATAAAACAAAACACTACGAGGCAAGAGGAAGTCACCTCGCGCCGTCCGAGAACATGGGCTGATGTGGATGTGCAACGCAGTACTTAATGACAATTATACTACAAGTATTTCCGCCTACAATCTTACTGGTTATGCACCTTTCATTCTCTAAACTCCGCAAACTATTCTAGGCCGGATCTAGTACAATTTGCCTGGATGGTTAATTTAGATCATCAAAAAGCACATAGTTTGATTTCAGAATAAAATTAAATTTAGAGGTGCACTTGAATAAGGTATGGATGAATTTGGATCAAGATAAAGTGAGACATTTATTGAGGGAGTTAGAGAGAGTCAAACTGTCAATTTTATAAATAAGTTATCCTAAAAATACTTCAATTGGTTTGGTTAAAAAAAAACTGAATTAGAGATGTCACAAGAAAAAAAATTTCAATTGGAGATGTCACTAGATGGGATTGTGCCTAGTTAAATAGGAATTATTTAATGAAATATTTGCATTAAATAACACTAAAACTTAAGTCATTTTCTTAAATAACACTTAAACTATTTTATTCTCTAAAAAGTACTTAATAATGTCCATAATATCCAGTAATAATGAATATTTACTTGAATAATGACTAAAAGTACTACATTAAACAAAGGAAAATTTATTATGTTTTAGTGCTATGAATTCCTCTATTTAATTGCTTGTGACGTGGAATCCCCGCTACGAGAAGGAGACTTCCCTAGTTCCCTTTGCTTGCCCAAAGGATAAAGCCAACCAGCACAGAAAATAATTGAGCTTACTACCTCGACGGAATCTCTATCGTTCCCTCCGATCTTCCCGCCGGTATGATTCTATTATGCATATGCATCTTCACCGTGGATGCTTTTACTCTGACGACTTTATTGTTAGGCGTTTGATTTTTGTATACATATTTCAATTGTCTTAAATGCTGTGATCTGTCTGTTGCTTGTGAATCGATTTTATGAATTTGTGTTTCTTGAGATTTAAGATTTGATATCTGTAGATATTAGAGCCTAGATCATCCTGGAGATCGGTTCTGTCACTCCAACTCCGAATTACTTGAAGGAATTAGTTCGAATGTATTTGTATTTTAGGATTGCGGACTGAATGATTTGACTGCCCAAGTTGCA